GAGTTAGGGGGGAGGAGGGAGGATGGAGGAGGGAGAAGGGAGGAGGGAGGAGGGAAGAGGGAGGCGGGAGGCGGAAGGAGGGAGTAGGGAGGCGAGAGGAGGGAGGAGGGAGGAGGGAGGAGGGAGGAGGAGGAGGAGGAGGAGAGGGAGGAGGGAGGAGGAGGAGGGAGGAGGGAGGAGCGAGGAGCGAGGAGGGAGGAGGGAGGAGGGAGGAGGGAGGAGGGAGGAGGGAGGGAGGAGTGAGGGAGGGAGGGAGGGAGGGAGGGAGGAGGGAGGAGGGAGGAGGGAGGAGGAAGAAGAGGAGACATATTATTAAGATCAATCAGAAGACGAGTAATACTAGTACTAAGGAAACAACGTCCTCATTATTGAACGTATTATTAGTAATAACATCGTTCATCTAATACCAATCATACTAATACTGACAATAGCAGTAATACAGCAAATCATAATACTAATGATTAAGAACCTCAGAGTAGAAACACCAAGCACAGTACTAATACGACTAATGTTGATTTTGCACATAAGAATCATACTATTATTATTCAGGAGAGTAGTAATAATAGTCATAATACTATTACGAATGATAATAAGAGGGGGAGGAGGTGGAGGAGGACGAGGAGGAAGACGATGAGGAGGAGGAAAAGGAAGAGGAGGGGGAGGAGGAGCAGAAGGAGGAGGAGGAAGAGGATGATGAGGAGGAGGAGGATGAGGAGGAGGAGGAGGAAGACCGGGAGCAGGTGAAGCAGGAGTAGTCCAGCTGCTGCAGGGCGCGCCCTGGCGCGCGCGAGGTTCGGACATGTGGCCGTTTGGCCGCAAGACCGTCGCTAAGGCCGCCGTCCCCAAGAACGTCACGCTTTCAGTGCCCTCCAATCGTGCGGCCGAGCAGTCGCGGCGATCGGCGCGCGACCGCCGCGACGGCGACGAACGATGAACGACGACTACGACGAACGATGGACGACGACGACGACGACGACGGCGGCGGCGGCAGCGGTGGCGGCGGCGACCACGACGACGACGACGACCTCATCGCCCTTAGAAACATGAGAGGAAGGGTTTTCGCCGTTTCTGGCTCCTGGGGGCCACCGTCGGGCTTGTGGGGCCGCCGACACAGAGGCAGGGGTGGGCCACGCACGGAAACAGGCGCGAGGTCGGAGGTTTAGTCTCGGAGGTGCGCCGGGGTACGGTCGGCCCGAGATATAAGATCGAGGTCGGTTCGGGGAGGGTACCCTAATGTTCTTCGTGTTTGTTGGATGTTTTTGTGCATCCTGGGGGAGGGTACCCTCGGTGATCTTATGGTTTGGGGTGTTTTGGCTGGCGGCGGGTCTAACGTTCTTGAAGGATGTTCTTCTGTCCTAGGTCCGGCCGTATCCTTCTGCTCAAGAGAGGCTTATGCCATGCCGCCGACCCCCCGAAGAAGAGATGTGCTGCTTCAGTCTTGAGTCTATCTTGGGCGTTCCTGAGGCTTCTCTGGCGCGCTGGGGCCCCTTCTGGAGCCATCTTAGACAGCGTATTGTGAATCTTGGCGGCCATGGAGGGTCGATTTTAAGGCTGCGGTGTCGGGATATCTTTCTATCCCCCCAACGAAGGGACATGGGCGCCCGAGAGGTGGCAAGGAGCTCCCCCGAAACAATCAAACGAGAAGCCCTCCCGAGTCGGCCAGCTCCGGATTTTTCCCAACCCTCCTTGGTTGGGTCTTCGTTTTGAATAGAGCACTGTGGTCGCGACTTCTCTTCCTGCCTCTTTCTTGTCTCCTCTTGGCTTGTGCGTACCTCTTGTGTGTGCATCTTGCTTGCGGTACCTATTGTGTCTGCATTTTGCCTGAGGGGCTGCGATCTGCGAAATTGTCGCCACTTTCGAGGGCTCCTGGGGGGCCAGCATAGCGGGTAGCCGCCGCGGATCTAAATCAGACCTCGCCATCCCTAGGGGCTGCGATCTGGGAAATTGTCGCCACTTTCGAGGGCTGCTGGGGGGGCGAGCATAGTGGGTAGCCGCCGCGGATGCAAATTTGACCTCGCCATCCATGGGGTCTGCGATTTGCGGAACTGTCGCCACTTTCGGGCCAGCATAGTGGGTAGTCGCCGCGGGTTTAAATTAGACCTCGCCATCCCTGGGGGGCTGCGATTTGCGGAACTGTCGCCACTTTCGAGGGCTGCTGGGGGGCCAGCATAGTGGGTATCCGCCGCGGATCCAAATTTGACCTCACTTGTGGCCACTTTCGAGGGCTGCTGGGGGGGCCAGCATAGTGGGTAGCCGCCGCGGATCCAAATTAGACCTCGCCATCCCTGGGGGGCTGCGATTTGCGAAATTGTCGCCACTTTCAAGGGCTGCTGGGGGGGCCAGCATAGTTGGTAGCCGCCTGGGATCCAAATTAGACCTCGCCATCCCTGGGGGGCTGCGATTTGCGAAATTGTCGCCACTTTCGCGGGCTGGTGGGGGGGCCAGCGTAGTGGGTGCCTGCCGCGGATCCAACTTTGAGCTCGCCATCCCTGGGGGGCTGCGATTTGCGAAATTGTCGCCACTTTCGAGGGATGCTGGGGGGACCAGCATAGTGGGTAGCCGCCGCGGGTTTAAATTAGACCTCGCCATCTCTGGGGGGCTGCGATTTGCGAAATTGTCGCCACTTTCGAGGGCTGCTGGGGGGGACAGCATAGTGGGTGGTAGCCGCCGCAGGCCCAATTTAGTCCTCGCCATCCCTTGGGGGCTGCGATTTGCGGAACTGTCGCCACTTTCGAGGGCTGCTGGGGCGGCGAGCATAGTGGGTAGCCGCCGCGGATCCAAATTAGACCTCGCCGTCCCTGGGGGTGCTGCGATTTGCGGAACTGTCGCCACTTTCGAGGGCTGCTGGGGGGCCCAGCATAGTGGGTAGCCGCCGCGGATCCAAATTTGACGTCCCCATCCTTGGGGGGGATCTGCGATTTGCGAAATTGTCGCCACTTTCGAGGGTTGCTTGGGGGGCCAGCTATAGTGGGTAGCCGCCGCGGATCCAAATTTGACCTCGTCATCACTGGTGGGCTGCGATTTGCGAAACTGTCGCCACTTTCGCGGGCTGCTTGGGGGGCTAGCCTAGCAATCTGCGAAACGGTCACCACTTTCGAGGGCTGCTGTTGGGTCCAGCGGGGTGAGGCTCCGCGAAGATCTGAGCGAGACCTGCTCTGCGAAACCGTCGCCACTTTCAAGGGCTGCTGGCGGGTCCAGCGGAATGAGGCACCGCACAGATCTGAGCGGGACCTCGCCGTCCTTGGGGGGCTTCGATCTGCGAAACCGTCGCTACTTTCGTAGGCTGGTGGCGGGTCCAGCGGAGTGAGGCACCACGCAGCTCTGAGCGGGACCTCGCAATCCCTCCCTGGAGGGGGCTGCGAGCCTCACAAATGCCGCTCGCAGAAGTATATGCGCTCATGTCACGTCATCACCTCCGTATCACGTCTCCCGAACTACTCATGCCCCGCATTGCGCAGGGGTTGGGCACGTCGCCAGGGTAATTCCCAACCATCTTGTGGTGTTGGGTCTTCGTTTTGGAGAGACGGTCCCCGCGTCCTTCCTCCTTCCTCCCTCCTCCTCCCCCTCCCCCCTCCTCCCCCTCCCCCCTGCGTTCCACCCACCCAGTACAGCGTTTCGTGGCCCCATAGAAAGCTCCACCGAAGGCCCCAGTGGCAGGGTTCGCATGGCGGGGCCCCGCCCCTGTTTGGCGCACCCCTCACACGGTTCGTGGCCCTATAGGGAGCTCCACTGGAGGCCCCAGTGGCAGGGTTCGCACGGCGGCCCCGCGCCATTTTGGCGCACCCCTCACACGGTTCGTGGCCCCATATGGAGTTCCAGCGAAGGCCCCAGTGGCAGGGTTCGCATGGCGGCCCCGCGCCATTTTGGCGCACCCCTCACACGGTTCGTGGCCCCACAGGGAGCTCCACCGAAGGCCCCAGTGGCAGGGTTCGCATGGCGGCCCCACGCCATTTTGGCGCACCCCTCACACGGTTCGAGGCCCCACAGGGAGCTCCACCGAAGGCCCCAGTGGCAGGGTTCGCGTGGCGGCCCCGCGCCATTTCGGCGCATCCCTCACACGGTTCGTGGCCCCACAGGGAGCTCCATTGAAAGTCCCACTGGCAGGGTTCGCATGGCGGCCCCGCCCCATTTTGGCGCACCCCTCACACGGTTCGTGGCACCACAGGGAGCTCCAGCGAAGGCCCCAGTGGCAGGGTTCGCGTGGCGGCCCCGCGCCATTTCGGCGCATCCCTCACACGGTTCGTGGCCCCACACGGAGCTCCATTGAAAGTCCGATTGGCAGGGTTTGCATAGCGGCCCCGCCCCATTTCGGCGCACCCCTCACACGGTTCGTGGCCGCATAGGGAGCTCCACCGGAGGCCCCAGTGGCAGGGTTCGCATGGCGGCCCCGCGCCATTTTGGCGCACCCCTCACACGGTTCGTGGCCCCACAGGGCGCTCCACCGAAGGCCCCAGTGGCAGGGTTCGCATGGCGGCCCCGCGCCATTTTGGCGCACCCCTCACACGGTTCGTGGCCCCACAGGGAGCTCCACCGAAGGCCCCAGTGGCAGGGTTCGCATGGCGGCCCCGCTCCATTTTGGCGCACCCCTCACACGGTTCGTGGCCCCATTGGGAATTCCACTTGCTTCGTCCACGCTTCTCACACTTTCGTAGGGTTGGGTCCTTCTCCAGGATAATTGGATATTTTTCCGGGCCCCAGGGATTGGCACGATCGAAAGGGGAGACATGGAATGGGGAAGAAGGCTACCAGCAGCCAATGCCCATCTTGAACAGGACTCGCTGTCGATGTCGCCGCAGACCTTGTCCTCGGACAGCCGTCGCCTGCCCAGCATCGGCCGCTGTCGCTCTTGGACTACATTCGCTGTTGGGCATCATGCCCGCTTCAGGTGTGCCACCCCTGGAGGGTCTGCTGCAGCTCGTTTTCCCGGTCCTTCCTGGAAACTTCAATATTTTCAGAAAACTTCGGAACATGTCTTCAATATTTTCGGACAACGTCGCAAT